CTATTGGGGAGACTGGTGAAACCATAGCAACACCATTTGCCTGTCTATATAGATTCCCTTTAAATGTAAAATTATTACTTTCTAGACAGAATGAATTTCAAGCTCTTAATTATTTCACTGGTGTGCAGTGGATATCTTTGTGATAGCGTTGTATCTGATTCTAGTAGACTGGAAATGATATCAAGACTTTCGGTAATAAGGATACTAGTATATAACGAGCTAATATCATAGCTTACTATAATGTCTTCTTTATCAATTTCTCGGTGTTCTATTTGGGATTTGAAATCATATGAATTCCTTACAATATTTTGAGTATCCTTTTGTAGTGGTTGTAGTACCGAGAGTAAGTATTTAGATAGGTTGTATGCCGGTGAGTTGGTGAAATCTATTATTGGTCTTAATGGGTTTACGTATCTTTGGTTAACCGTAGAATCTTGAAGGTACATAAGATTTTGGTTTTAGTTTAATCCAAAGAGAGAATTTCCAATTTGGGTTTCATTTCTTGAAGGAGTCTGTTTGTTACTTTAAACACAGTGGGCAGAGTCAGTCAAGTGGTATACGAATTATTTGAGTTAAAAATATGAATCGATAGTGAATCGATATTAGGTAAAATCCACCGCTCATTGAATTCTGGCCCAAGTGACTGAAACGTCAACGCGCTTAGATTTATAGCCTAAAAGTTCGTCTATTGTCCCAAGAGTGCGGGGGGGGGGGTGAGTGAACACTGATGAAGAGTCCCAAAGTGGGACGGAACACCTTCCCAGTGCTTCCTGCTTTTTAGTAGTTGTCAACTGATGTTAGTTGGTGACGAAATCTACTTTAAATATTGAGTTGGTATTCACGGGAGTATTGCCTTCAGAAAGTGACAGAAGGGCGGAAGACAACCAGTCCACAGTATTGGATAATCAGTATTTGTATAAGTTGTTATATAACACTAGTTTTGCCTATAAAATTCAAAAATAACTTCATTTTAAATTTAGACGGCAATTTTCGCTCTCTTTTGGCGGACTAGTATGGGCTTTTTGTATTTTATCTCAGTCTCTGTGAATTTAGTTTGCAAAAGTGACTTTGCAGGGGTTTGACTGGCTTCAAGTTTCACCACGGATTGATATAACTTAGAGAACCACTGAAGACCAGAGAGTACTGGAAAGTTGTTTTTTGATCCTAGTTTGGAACCCTTCAGCGATTCTCACCGACTGGGGTTCAAACCTAGGACCTACTGATTGAAAGACAAGGTGGTAGACTATTCGGCTAATGGGACTCGTTTCAAGGGTTCTTTAACTGATATTAATCAGTAGTCAGACTTAAAACAAATTATATCCGTACAAACTAACTAGGTCGAAGGCTTCCTGTGGCCGATTGCCTCCAACTATCTAATATCATCAAATCAATGTACACCGTGATAGCGAGCTACCTAGCGGTATGTTGGCCACATTGCAAACCTGACTTATAGAATTCAGTCTGCACTTAAGAAAGGAATAGACACGTCGCATAAGTTACTAGTTTTCAATCGGAAAACTATAACTAGAAAAATAATCTGATGCTGACTATTGACTAGCTGCAGCTCGACGCTGTGTGGTGTTCCAGTGAGAAGTATAGACCAGTGGGGTGCATCCGGTCATCAACGATGAAATCGGCTGGTGCTAGCCACTCTAAAATTACGAATAACTGACATTTATCTATGATCAGCCGTGAAATTTATTTTCCATTAAGGTTATTTAGATGGTAAATATTCAGTCTGTCTGTCAGCCATGTTGACGAGAAGTTAAACAGTAAAATATCCCCGTCAGTTAACTTTCTTTTATTCTTGTTCTTCGTGTGGCGGTTATATTGCCTTTGCGCTGAGTGAATTTGTTATTAGTTCCTAGTTTGATCACGGACTGACACCAATTAGTGAACTACCGAAAGCCAGGGGGCACTGGACAGCTATTTCATCCTAGTTTGGGACTCATCGGTAGTACTCACCCACTGGGGTTCAAATCCAGGACCTTTCAGTTACAAGTCAAGGTCGTGGACCATTCAGCCATTGAGACCCAACTCAAAGACCAGTCCATGAGTTCTAACTTCTAGGTTTTCGTCATTTTAGCGTGTCTAGCACCAGCCAATATCCTCGCTGGTGACTGGATGAACCCCACTGGTCACGACTTTTCACTGGAACTGTAGTAAGCTTCATTCTGTTCTTAATAAATAATGTCGTGGAAAATACCCATTGGAACATTAGATTGAGAAGAACAAGAAGTTCAGCAAAGATGTTTATCTTTTCGGCGATTTCATCCTCAAGAGCTGTACAATCGCATTTATATAGATAAGTTTAAATGGATACAATTCTTATTTGTTTAACTCCACTTAGTAACGAAGGCGATAATAATTTTTAACTTGATATGAAAGTTTGAAGGTACGAATATAGATTACAAGGGGCTTAGAGACAAGATTGCATAGGATTAGATAGCAGTTACAAGGTATGCAAAATTAATATTTGATAACTGGAGAAATAATAAGTTTAAAGGCGAATAAAAGGTGATAATTGTTTTTAACTTGATATTAATTACAAGAGGCTTAGAACGAATTACAAGTGTGAACAAAATAAGCATGGAAACAAATTGAGATCAAAATTTTCAACTTGAAATGTAAGTTAGGAGGTGTGAATATAGATTACAAGAGTCAAAGAAACAAAAAAATACACAGGATTAGAATATAATTGTAAAATTGTTATTCTAAACGGATTACAGCTCTTGAGAATGAAATCGCCGAAAAGATATCTTTGCTGAACTTCTTGTTCTTCTCAATCTAATGTTTCAATATATTCGCTCACTACGAATGCAAGTACAATCACCTGAAGAATGAACCCCTTACAAGACAAATGTGCATTCTGGACTCCCGATAGTTAGCGACTATTAACCAGGTGGAATTATGTTCATTTCGAGGCGTTGGTCAAAGCATCTTACTGCGGTAACGGACATGTTAACAGAAACCGAACATTAGATAGTTGGAGGCAATCGGCCACAGGAAGCCTTGCCTGATCTAGGTTTCGTTCTAGTTAGCACTCACCAGTCAGCAAGGCGGCGTATCTGCAACCTTGTAGGAAGGAACTCATGTCCCTTCTGAGATTCGAACTCGCGTCATCCAGTGCCATCTGCATTCATCAAATCAATGTACAGCGTGATGGCGAAGCACCTAGTGGCATAGTGGCCACATTGCAAACCTGACTGATAGAATTCAGTTTGCATTAAAGATCATCATTATCATTGAACAAAGCCGGGAACGGCAGTCACCTCTCTATCTCAACTTCATCGACTTTGAAAAGGCCTTCGACAGCGTCGATCGAGAGGAGATTTGGAAACTACTTCGTTACCACTGGGTGCCACCGACAATTATACATCTCATCCAACAGCTGTTCGACAATGATGCATGCCAAGTAATTCACAACGGGAAACTTACGGAATCCTTAGAAGTGAGGACAGGAGTAAGAAAACCCTGCTTACTATCGCCAATGATTTTCCTGATTGCAGTAGATTGGATAATGCGACAAACAGCGAACAATGAGGAAACAGGCATAAAATGAACTCACACAAAAAACTTGGAGGATCAGGACTTCGCCGATGATATATGTCTGATTTTCCACAAACTGGAAGATATGCAAGTGAAAAGCAACAAGTTGGCAGAAGAAACATCAAAGATAGGACTTCAGGTGAACATAGATAAAACAGAGGTGATGAAAATTCCTGGCCAACACCACCACCAGCAACAACAACAGGCAACAATCAGCCAGCATAAATGGAAGGAACCTGAAAGAAACAACCTCCTTTACCCACCTACCTGGGAAGCATCGTTTCAACTACAGGCGGAACTGACGAGGATATCAAAGCAAGGATCGGAAAAGCAAGACAGGCTTTCACTACTCTCAAGTCTGTGTGGAGGTCAACAGCATTCAGCGTCAAAAATAAGATCTGGATTTTCAACCCCAATGTGAAGTCAGTACTACTATACGGATCAGAGACTTGGCGTGTCACAAAGAGCACCTCAAACAAGCTACAGACCTTCATTAACAAATGCCTTCGCTCAATACTCAAGATCAAATGGCCGGAGAGGATCAGCAACAAAGATCTCTGGGAGCGAACCAACCAGGAACCGATCGTGAAACAAATAGGCAGGAAGAAATGGAGATGGATTGGACACACTCTGAGGAAACCAGCAAGTGACATCACTAGACAAGCCCTCGAGTGGAACCCGAAATGGAAGCGGCGAGTTGGTCGTCAGTGCAAGTCCAAGGGTGACTTGGAGGAGGTGATGTGAAGAGGAGATGAAAACGTGTAGGCAGACTTGGAGCCAGGTGGTGACTCTAGCAGAGAACCGAACGCAATGGAGACGTGCACTGCTGAAGCCCTATGTTCCTCTAGAAGTTAAAGGAAACAACAATAATATAATACATATATAATAGTATATATAATATATAATAGTAACTACTAGTTACTAGTGCCCAATCAAAAGAAATTGAACATTTCAATCCAGCATACATCAACCAACAAAGAACTCACGATAACTTCAACAACAAAACAAAACAAAAATATTTATAAAATGTTTACTGATTGACACTGTTTTTCATTTATTTCAATTAGTTTAAAGATAAACAACTTATTCATGTAAAACAAAGTGAATTTGTTCCTCTACAATAAAAAAATTCCTTCAATTGAATGTTTCAATGCTTATTATAAGTAAACAAATCCTATGAAGTGTATGTAATCTGTTGTTCAATATTCAACACCATTTCTTGTTCAATAACGACGACAAAAACAACAGCAGGAACAGCATCAGTCATTCAACCATGATATAGGCAAAACATATACAATAAAGTCAGCTGACGACTACATTTATTGTCTTTCTTGTTTGTTTTTTCCCTCATTGTTTTTGTTTTCATCTGATAAATTTTGATTTCATTCAGTGAATGAGTGATTGAATGACTACTGTTCATTTCTTCTATTGTGATTCCTTCTTTTTAATAGTGTTCATCTCAAGAACGAGCTGTTTCAAGGACACCAATAAAGACAATCAATACACATTCAAATAATAATACTCATAATTACAATAATAGTAATAATAATAATAACAGCCTTAACAACCGGAAACAGAAAACTCATTATGATAATCAAATTGACGGTAGAAGTCGATGGATATTTAATTCAGAAAGGCGAAAATCCCCTCAACATGAAAATAGAATGAATACTGATGGAATTTATGATACATTAATGCATAGACAAGATATGGCTATGCATAAACCACGATCTAAATCGAAACGTTTCGACAAAGAGGAAAGAATACAGCTAGAAATGAATGATACACTGTTTTCACGATCTGCTTCTGCTCATCCTATTTTAATGAATCCACCACAATTACCACCAAAGGTATATAAGGTGAGTTAATTATTTCTTCAAGAATTTAATCTCCTCATACACCATGATATTATTTACTTATTTTCGTTTTGAGATCTGAGTAGAACATTAGTCTTTTTTATTCCTTCACGTTCCCAGTGGAACATAGGGCTTCAAGCTAGAGTCTTGAAGTTTCTGTAGCAGTGTTTATTTTCACAGGATGGGGTTGCCAGCCTCATGCCCAACCTTTCCTCTTCACCAGCTTTTTTATTTCCGGCTTAGTGAGGTAAAGGAGTGCGCCGGCCGGGGATCGAACCCCGGACCATGTGCATGGTCGGCTAGCGTTCTAACCGCTATGCCACTGACGCACAAATTATTAGTCCCTTGGGCTTCAACAACACATCTCCACTTCAGTCTGTTTTCTAATGTCCTCTTCAGCTGGCTGACTCCACGATTAACCATTATCCCTCATCTCCTCCTTGCCACACAATCTCCTACATGTCACCCTTGCAACAATGACCCACTCATCACTTCCCATTCGAATTTCACTCGAACGATGGCCTGTATTGAGCGCGAAGTCATTCGAAAGCCTCCTCAACGAATGCCCGATCCATCTCCATTTTTTCTCCTACATATATTGTCAGCAATCAGCTCCTGGTTGGTTTGTTACCACAGTTTCTTGTTGCTAATTATTTCTGACCGGCTGTTTGATGTTGAATTTGAACAAAGCAAGAACTACAGTTTTTGCAGAATAAAATGATGCCATCTTTTATTTCATGCATCGGTGGCATAGCGGTTAGGACGCTCGCCGATCATGCATATGGTCCGGGGTTCGATCCCCGGCCACAGACTTACTCCCTTACCTCACTAAGCCAGAAATAAAGCTGGTGAAGAGAAAAGGTTGGGCATGAGTCTGGCAACCCCATCCTGTGAAAATAAACACTGCTACAGAAACTTCAAGCCTCTAGCTTGAAGCCCTGTGTTCCACTGGGAACGTGGAGGAAAAATAATCCTTTTTTCGCTGCCTTCTCGTCAGCTGTTTACAGGCTAAAGACATTGATAAATATATCTACAAAAACAATTTTAACACACTTGCACAGAGTTCAATTTAAACAAAGATCAATCGATCAATATATGCACATTTGATGTTGATTATGGAGCGAAAGCAGCTATTGAAGGAAGGATGCAACAAGCTCTTGGAAATCCTTTGTGCCTCGTATAGAAGGACCGATTTGACATTGGTGTTGAAAATCCGAATATTGTTCCCTATGCTGGCTGAGTGCAGAAGATTTTCAAACTGGTTACAGGTTGATGAAGGCGTATCTTGCCTTTCCGATTCTTTCTGACTGGCATTGACATCTTCATCCGTTCCGTAGTTGAAAGTGTGCTTTCTAGATAAGTGAAGGAGGTAACCTCTGTTAAATGTCTCCCGTTGATGGTGATTGGTGCTGGTTGGTGTTGTTGTTTGTTTTGTAATCTTCATCACCTTCATGCTCTCTTTGTTCACCTGGAGTCCTGTCTTCGCTGAGTGCCTCTTTAGCCAGTTTTTTGGTTTTCGCATTCTAGTCTTCTGGTTTGTGTGACATTTATTTTTCCTTCACGTTCCCAGTGGAACATAGCTAGAGGCTTGAAGTTTCTGTAGCAGTGGTTGTAGGATTATTTTTGTCCTACAGATTTAGTCCTACCTCAATACTGACGATACAGAGTCTCGGCTTAGCTATAGTTAAAAACAGGATGACTTGACTTAACTTTATCTGTTTCTAAAACATAAATAAATCATACAGTTACACCAAGAAAAATGTACAAATCCATTGTCATTACAAAAAACGGACAAAAACGTACCGAACAGTATTGAAGGTACGGACAAAATGAACAGTCAATTAATTACATGTATATACAAGTAAAGTGACAGACAAAAAAGAACATTCAAGGTCATCACGTGGTGAGAGTTACAATAAATTGGCCAATAATCGCGACAAGAAAGGTCACATAATATTGATTGGCTGTTTATCATACAATCTATCTATCTGTCGCGATTAACACTCCCCGCGAACGACCACCACGTTGACCTTTCGTACGCTTCTTATATCTTGTTCCACTTCTTGAGTTGAAGTTTTCAAACACAGTGTCCTGACGTGGCCATCTTGGTCATAGTACATCTGCTTAACTATAGCCTTTCGCCAGAGACCTCTCTGTGTGTCAGCACTCTTAACTAAGACGAGATCATCAGGTTGTAGGTTGTGCTTTATATCCAACCACTTAGATCTTGTTTGCAGCATCAGAAGATATCCACGTAGCCATTTATGCCAGAGCAAATCAGTCAAATATTTTGGAAGTAGTTGACTATAGTGTTGGAAGAAAGCATATCCATACATAGCATTCGCTTTACCTTTGTAATATTGTAATTTTCTTAAGAATTCACCAATTGCTGAACGAGCCGCAGTTAAAGGCCTTTTTGGAACTAAGGAAATACACAAATCAGATGCATCGTCCTCACCGACTACTTTATGTGTACGTCCCATAGAATCGTCAGCTTCAATCAAAACTCGCAGAATCGCATAACGAGCAGAACAGTGTGATTGACACCATGATCCAATGTCATCAGCATTTTCTGCTGGAGAATAAAACTACATGGAAGTTACAACTGAAGGAATCATTGACAACCAATTAATATAGTCTACATCTGAGACATCGCCTTGAGCACAGTCGGTATTCAGACCGAACTGCTCCAGAACCAGAGGTAAATCAGATAAATAAATTCCAACGCACTCAGCTTGACACTTGTCTATTGCAGATGAAAGGTTTAAAAACTTGCTGTCATACATTTCTCCTGGTTCATACCAACCTTTTATAGGATCTCCATTTATGACATATTCAGTAGTTTTCGTGTGGGAACTTCGTTTTCCATAACGATCACGCCGAAACAGTTTACCAGAATCATATCCCATCAGTTCATGAAGTCCAACTTGTAATTCAAAGGAACTTTCAGCATGTTCCACGTACATTTGTTTGTCTTCATTACGTAGAAATTCTGGTTTAGGATCCTCGAGACGAACACTAAGTACATTATTCAAAGAAACATTTTTAAATCCATCAACTTGTCGTACATCATCATAGTTAGGAATATTAGTTCCAACAGGAATTCCAGCAGTTATAAATGTCACCATATCCAAACTAGTAAAGTCTGGCTGTAAGAAATTAACTTTTTCAAATGTAGAAGGCCATGGTAAACTTGTTAACAACCTTTCAGCATTATTTACAAGTCGTTGGAATTTTTTAGATACTGATCTATTTGCAACAGCGACAAATGATTCAAACTTTGCACGAACGCCAAAGGGATCACGGTATGACTCTATATACCCAATATACTTTTCAACAACAGGGTTCTTATCTTTAACCCATAACCTGAAGGCACCTTTGTGAGTGGCTACTGAGCCAGTAGTGAAGCTTTCAGCATACTGATGCCACATTTCTGATTCAATTTGGTTAAGCGAATGTGCTTTAAAATCTTTACAACAATCGACTAGTAACTTCATCAGCTCACTATAGTCACCATATTCAAGCTGCAAGGATGTGTCTGAGGGAAGGGTATCTCTTAACTTCTCATGACATTGACTTAGAGGGATTTGCAGGTCATGGTAACGTTGGGCTAACCGTCTTTGTTTTTCTTGGGTAATGGGAGCGTCGAAATGACTTTCTGCAGCAAGCGTGTCAGCCTGGACTTTGAATGTATCTATACATTCACGATGAGTAGCTACATCAGATTCAAGCAAGTTGTGCCGCCTTTGTACGTTCATCACACCATTTAGATCACGACCGACATCCTCTGAGGCTATCTGAGCTTCAACATCATTCAACCATAACTTTACATCTTCTACGTTGCGAGCGAACTGTTGTTGCCTACTTGCTTGATCTAAATTTTGCTTCTTATCTCCCATGGCATTTACGAGATGAGACCAAGTTTCATCCAACTGTTCAATCTTTACTTTTATTTCTGGCGAGTTGTAGTGGTTTGCATTTAACAAATCCTGACCTGTCTTTTTAATATCTTCGACGCGGGATTGGTTCGCTTGTATTTCTGCCTCAAAACTCTGATGCTTCTGCACCTTTGTTTGCAAATTCGTGGAGTCTTTGTAACTTTCATCAAGTGCATTTCTAAGTTTTCCTGATACCCATGACTGCATTTCATCTGCATCTCTATCGAACATTTGGTAACGGTGGGAATCTTCAAGACGCTGACGGCGGTTCTGAGCTTTCTCCTTTAATGCATTTCGTCTACTTTGAAGACCTTCCTGAATCTCATGAACATGTGCAGCCGCATAGTGGTTTGATTCGATTAATTTTGCAGCGAATTCATCAAGTTGTCGCATCTTTTCTTCTTGTTCTAAAAGTGACTTTTCGAAGTCTTCATGTTTCCTTATAAGTGCTTCCACAGAATCGAGTGAGTCTCCCACATCTTTTATTTCTAGGAGGGCCTCTTGCTTACCAATCCAAGATTCAGACTGTTCAGCGTCGCGGTAAAAATACTGAAGGCCCATATACTCTTCTAGCTGTTCACGTCTTTCCTCACACAACTGTATCAGGGAGGATCTCTCTCTTTCAAGGGTGGAAAGTTTAGCAGCGATGTCTCCACTACAGGGATGGCCAACACTTAGTAATGCCTGACCTTCTTGCATGCATGTATCGAAACTGTCAGCTCGAGAATTTATCTCAGAGGTGTATTGCCTATGTCGCTCTACTTGGGTTTCAGCACCAACTACATCCTTTGCCAAATCATCCGCCGATATTAACGTCTTCATGTCATTCATCCAGATACTCAAGTCTCTCCATTCAGCCAAAAAGCGATGCATCTTGAATGACTCTTCCAGTTTACCTCTCCTACCTACAGCCTGACCTTTCAGCTTATCCCAAGCAGTAATTAGGACGTCATACTTGCATTGTATAGTGTCTTGCGAATCAGGATGCTTCTGTGCAAGCGCCTTAACATCATCTCCAAGTTGAACAATCTTTTCATCTGGGGCAGTCAAATCCCTTTCTAATGC